CCAAGTGGTGCACGGCTATGAAGAAAGAGCTAGCATCCATCGAAGAAAACGACGTGTGGGATATAGTTGACCTGCGGGCGGGTAGCCGCGCCATTGGATGCAAGTGGGTGTATAAACAGAAGCGAGACGAAAATGGCAATGTAGTTCGGTACAAAGGCAGGCTGGTAGCCCAGGGCTACACTCAACGTTTTGGGACGGACTACGATGAAGTTTTTGCGCCAGTCGTTCGACACGTTACGTTCCGCACCATGTCTGTGGCAGCCAAGAAGAAGATGATCGTCAAGCAATTCGACGTAAAAACGGCGTTCCTCAACGGCAACCTTGAGGAGGAGATCTACATGAAGCAGCCTCCCGGGTATGTCGTCAGCGGTATGGAAAACAAGGTATGCCATTTAAAGAAAAGTTTGTACGGGCTCAAGCAAGCGGGTCGTTCTTGGAACCAGCGACTGCATGAGGTGATGGAAGCGGATGGTTTTGAGCGATGTGACGCAGATCCCTGCCTGTACAGAAAGCGAGCTGGTAGCAATTAGTGCTATGTTCTCATGTATGTGAATGATCTCATCGTAGCGAGCGAAGATGAACGCATGATCGACGCATTGAAGCGAACGCTTGCAAGAAATTTCCAGATCAGCTGCCTCGGTGATGTCAAGTTTTACCTCGGAATCGAAGTCGATCGAGATTATGCTGGAGATTTTCTTATCAACCAGCGGAAATACATTGAAGACGTCATCTGTTCTGTTGGCCTACAGGATGCGAAAGTGTCAACCGTGCCAATTGATCCTGGGTGCATCAAGACGGAAGATAACGATGGCCAGCTCCCAAATAATCAAGAATATCAAAAGGTAGTTGGGCAGCTGTTGTACATCGCAGTCAACAGCAGACTTGACATCGCAACGGCAATCTCAATCTTGAGTCGTAAGGTGAGTTACCCAACCCAACGTGACTGGAACGAGTTGAAGCGAATGGTTCACTACCTGAAGGGGACGATTGATCTGAAGCTTCGACTGAGTAGCAGTGGTGATTCATCTGGTCTGGTGGGTTACGCTGATGCCGATTGGGCAGAATGTCGCGACGACAGGAAGTCCAATAGTGGATATGTATTCAAATACTGCGCAGGAACCATTGCATGGGCATGCCGAAAGCAATCCTGCGTTTCACTATCTACAGCAGAGGCGGAATTCGTGGCTCTTTCCGAAGCATTCCAAGAAGCGGTTTGGCTGCAGAGACTATTGAAGTACCTAGGGGAGAAAACAGAAGCAATATTATTCGAAGACAACCAAAGCTGTTTGAAGATGCTGGACTCCGAAAAGTTCAGAAACCGTACCAAACACATTTCAATAAAATTTCACTACTCCAAGGACCTGACACGAATGTTGTCATGAAATTTTGCGGATTGATCGTGACTTGAAGGCTCCTGAAAAAAGATAGGATGTTCTCAGTCTTGTCTACCCGAGATAATAAGTACCGATCTGGAACATCGTTCATCGTATCCTTCGAAGAATTTTGCTTGTATAAAATCTTCCTATTTTTCTGATTCGTCATCAGAAAACTCTACCGACCGCGATCCGAAATAGATTGGCCGCCTACTGCTTATGAACCAGATGATGAATGAAATTCCATCACCATAGGAATCTCATGATTTGATGGAAGATCCTCTAACAATCCATGTGGAAGACCACGAACGACGGCAACCAAGCCATTCATTCGTGCAACAACCTTTTTATTCTCTCAGATCGGTTGTTGGAACTCCGCAAACAAACCAGCTGCTGCAAAATCTATGGCCAAGGGGTAAGACAGCTCCTAATCATGAGCAATTTCAGAGTTGCTATTGAGGCACCTCGAGTAACTTACATTGCTCAGTGAGCAAGATCGCTGTCATTTGCCTGACCAAATATTCAAAATCGATACTCGTCAAAGCAATCTCGTCCTATCGCTTGACAAACTGCCGTTAGATGGAACTGTAAACCGAGCTCTGAATTACCACGGCGCCGTTTTGCTGACGGGGGACATCCATCCTCGCTTTTGGTGCTTTTACTGGGCTTTCTGGATGGTCGTGATTGGGTCCCGTTTTTGCTATACATCACTGAGATTTTGCTGCGGCCGTCGACCGAAGTCTCCAGGAGAAAGTCGACGAAGAGAATCTGTCAGCTAGATTTGTGCTTCGTCTTCCTGACGGATTTTCACTTCGGTTTCATCCGGTAGATCGTTAATGGATTTGAAGTTCAAACGAGGATCGCACTCCGGAATCAGCAGCTTCTTCATCGTCATCCTCCTCTTCAGCTTCGGCAGTGGCAGCGGCTGCACTGATGCTTTGGCTGAACATTCCACGGGGTAATGGTTTGTAGCGTTGCCTTTGGAGCTGGAATTGGGTTTTAATCGGTTGTTACCCCACTGGGAGATATTTTCTATGCCGGAAACTGTGGCGGTGGGTGCCGTTAGAGGGGCCATGGTTGATATATTACTCACTATACTCTATGTTTGCCATGGTGCCAACGGGAATGTTAGTCGAAAGGGGATCGGAGTTAGTTATTACCACATTGACTGGTGATGCCTTTTCCAATAGAACTGCTGTTACGACTGGAGAAATCTAAGATGTTGGGATCGCTGTAAGCTGGTTCGAAGTGTAGGTTGTTATTGGTAGTAAGCAGGCACCGGCACAAGGCGAAAGGCTCAGAGTACACTTGGGATTACTTTATTTACTAACAAAACTGACGTCTAATATTAGACGTATATGCTTAAAAAGAGTAAACGGAGTTTGCAGAGAAGAATATTGAGGTTCATTGAGCTACTCGCGAGTTACTCGCTGCAAAAAAGCAACTCAGAGTAAACCTGTCTCACCCCTTGTCTATGGCTGATGAAGCACCACACATAATGAAACGAATTCTGGCATATTATGGAAAGAACGCCAGAAAATGAATCTTAATTAATTTAAATGACCTACAGTTGATGAATTCCAATTAATTATCTGACATAGATTCAAAAAAAAAGTGAAAAATAAATGAAAACCATTGCCAAACATATGGCAAATTTTATAACTTATTTATAACAACAGTTGTTGTATATATAGTTTTAATGCGATGTATTATATCTAATTTTGTAATAACATATATAATAATATAATAATAACATATCAAGATCTGTTATAATTTTGTTACCACTAGACGAATTTTTGTTATGATTTTTGTTATTTTCACAACGAACCAGCCAATGTTTATAACGCGTTCTGTTACATTTTTGTTTGTTAAATAAATAACTCCAGTTGTTATAATTTTGTTATGCCCTTTCTGATCGGGGCTTGGGGGGTAGGGTTTCGTTGCCTCATCAGAGCGATTTCGCCAGTATGAACGGCAGTGTGGTTCTAGATTCGTCTGGAGCTCGACCGGCTATGGTGACAAGTGGGCAGGGCTGTCATCTGATCACTGAATGCGCGCAATGTACTGATTTTCTGAAATATACAAAGTGAGAATCAAGCAAGCACAAAGCACACACACCAAGAAATAACGAAAGCTCAATGTGTAGCCATCGCTCCCACGGCTCCGACGCAAAGAGCGCCACTCAGTGTAGGGTTGCAAATGGGAAACACAGCAAAAAGACAAAATTCTTCTTTGTCATGCCCTTCTTTATCTCCTATGCATGCAGTCGTACGGAGTGTACCGCTCATTGTGTGGTTCGCTTTATCACAGATTAGTTGGAAAAGAGTGCGCGAAGTAGATGGGAGAACCACACACTCTTTGTCGAGTGTTGTGAGATGCATGTACAAAGTTGCTTTGCTAACGCTCTGAGGTGCTTTCCAGCCCTACCAGTGGGCAACGATGAGACACATCGAGACGGGAGACAAGACAAACAAAAACTAATAAAGAGATACAAAAGACAAACGAATTAAATTCTTATACTAGACATTTGCAGAAACACATAAATCGACTGCATATAGCAGAGATCGCGGGTACCCCACTTTAACGCTCTTGGGTTATTTGTTATTGTCTGTTTAAATTAAATTACATTTCATTTTAACTTAGGTGTTCCAGCTACTATTACAGTAGCTTCCCAGCATTAATTTGTGTTTACATTGTTCCTGCCTTGGCAATTCAGTATTTTAAACAGGTTATCTAAACCTGCATGTCAGTATAACAATTGACATCTTAAAACTAAAAACTATTGCTCACAAGCGAGATTGCCAGCACACCTGGCGCAGACGGTTTGAACACCGGGAAGCTGATGCGTTGGATGTTCTGCTGAAAAAGAAGCTTGTTACTGGTATGAAAGTTGCAGATTGCGGAATACGTGAAGGTTGCACATGCTGAGTGAAAGGAAAGCAGGCTCGAACTCCCTTCCCCAAGACCTCCGAGAAGAAGACCTCCGCACCATTGGATCTCATCCACTCGGACGGGTATGGTCCACTGGAGACACCCTCGAAATCCGAGTTCGGGAAGTACCCCAAGCGCATCAGGTCTGATCGGGGAGGGGAGTATTCGAGCGAAGTACTGCTGAAGTTCTTCTGCAAGCATGGAATCCACCCCGAGTTTACTGCCAGATATTCGCCACAGCAGAACAGAGTGGCGGAGAGACGAAATCGATACATCATTGAAATGTGTCGGTGCATGCTAATGGACGCCAGGATGTATGTACGATTTTGGGCTGAAGCAACCGCTACGGCCGTGTACCTACAGAACCACCTATCTTCTCGTGCTGTGGAGATCACACCATACGAGCTTTGGTGGGGACGTAAACCGAACGTTTCACATCTGAAAGTGTTTGGGAGCAGAGCATTTGTCTATGTGCCGAAGGAAAAACAAAGCAAACTCCAGGATAAGTCGAAGTAAATGACGTTCATCAGCTATTCCAGTAACCACAAGGCCTACAGATTCATTGATATGACCACTAACAAGCTGATCATTAGTTGAGACGTCCGTTTATTTGAGGAGGAGTTGGTCCAACCCGGTATCGATGTTTCTAATCTGGAGGAGGAGTCGTACGAGGAAATTCTACAGCCGTTACCTCCTATGGCTGAAGCAAATCAAGAAGTTCCGGATCCAAACGATCCAGAGATTGACGAAGAAAATGACGATGGAAGGTCGGACGTAACCGACACGGACTTCGATCCTTGCGAAACCATTGTACGAAGATCAGAGCGGTCCAACAAAGGTGTCGCCCCACAGCGGTACCATGAAGGAAGCAACATGGCAGCAGCTACTGAACCGAGGACGTATGAAGAAGCAGTAAGCGGACAAGAGAGCGAATCGTGGATAGCTGCGATGGAAGAAGAGATCCAGTCCCTTCAAGATAACTCGACATGGACAGTTGAGGCCCTTCCAGATGGACGAAAGGAGGTTGGCTGCAAATAGCGGTAAAGGGGAAATTGGACGAACACGGTTTTAGTCAGAAGTTTGGCACTGACTACGACCAGGTGTTCGCTCCGGTAGCAAAACAGGTAACATTTCGTTCTTTGCTAACCATTGCGTCCCGTCGTGAAGTTCTAGTGAAACACGTCGATGTCAAGACGGCTGTATGGGACGCTTACCGAGGCCGTATACATGCGTCAACCGAAAGGATGCGAGACTGGGAATCCCGCAGAAGTTTGTCGTTTGAAGAAAAGCTTCTACGGTCTGAAGCAATCCGGTCGAATTTGGAAACAGACGATTGACGATTGATTCAAGAAGCTGGGATTTCTACAATCAACTGCTAATGCGTGCCTATATGTGAGTACCAAGGGTGAGAAGCAAGCGTTCATCCTTCTGAACGTCGACGATATGCTCATCGTGTATGAGACCGAGGCGGAATATGAAGCGATCCTGAAAGCATTCTCGAGAAAGTTCAAAACCATTTCTCTTGGCGATGGGCGGCAGTACCTGGGCATACAGGTGGAGCGGGAAAATGATGCAAAGTTTCTGCTCAACCAACAGTGCATCATCCATCCAGCGGCTGGCGTCGCGATTCGGACTCCAAACGGCAAAGCCATTACTTATCCCGATGGACCCCGGCTATCTTCAAGCAAAGGAGGAGGAGTCCAGCAAGCTACCAAACAATACTTCGTACTCCAGTTTGGTTGGTGGTTGGTTGGTGGCCAGATGTAACGATCAGCGTTTGGTTACTTGGGCGAAAGGTTAGTGCCCCGAATGTAGCAGATTGGACAAAGCGCACTATGCGGTATCTCCAGCGACAAAGCATTTTCGATTGCATTTGGGCGGCAAGAATGTTAACCTGAAGGCTTACTCGGATGCATATTGGGCAGGCGATCATCGGGACCGTAAATCCAATAGTGGTTTTCTGATTATGTTCGGTGGAGGTGCGATCAGTTGGGTGGCAAGGAAGCAAACCTGCGTTGCCCTATCTGAGTTTATTGCTGCTACAGAGGCATGTCAAGAATTTCTCTGGATTCAAAAGCTGATGAAGGATTTCCACGAGCCGGAAACTCAAATCCTGTTACTCGAGGACAACCAGAGTGCCATCCGACAGTTGCAGTCGGAGAAACTGGAACGCCGGTTCAAACACGTTGACACCAGGTTCCAGTTCACCAAGGATCTTGTTCAACAAGGCATGCTGTCCGTGATCTACTGTCCAACGGAGCATATGGTTGCGGACATGCTCACCAAACCATTGAACAAACTCAAGATATCAAAACATCGAACATCGGCTGGTGTGCTACCTGTGCAGTTCGAGGAGGATTGTTGAGATAACGAACAATCACAGCAACCCGCTGAATCCTAAACTTATCAAAGTAGCCTGTTAAGAACGATTAATAAAAATTTGATTAATTGCACTGTTACAATCCTTAGCGATCAGTTGTTTCTTTTTCACGCTCTGCTTACAGTTAGTTCGTTAAATATTCCTGTTTGAATAGTTAAATTTCTGATTTGTTTAACATTTTCACAATTTGTACTATACACTAAAAAATTAGTGGATAAATTCTCCGTCGAATGACATATTGCATGACATATTTCCCATTAATTGTTTTGAGAAATATGCGATTGAAACCTGCCCCCACTTTCGTTACATGCCTCATTTTCGATTTCATAATGTGACTCCCGGTATAGTAAAGAAAGACGTAGTCCTACGTCAACAAAACAGGATTTTTGGAAGCAGAGCAGATTTTTCTTGTCATCATACAAATCTCTGCCTGTGCATGTTTGGAAGGGCTATTTTTGAATTCAAAGGTCCAGATAAATCAACAAACTAACCATCGAGTAACCCCTCGCTGTCCAAGCCAACCAGTAATCAACCCCAAGCAGCACGCACTCCCTATTAGATCGATAAATAACCAATGCTCTTTTTTTGGCCTTATCTATTCTTCTCCTGCGACCTGTCTTCCAGTATGCGGCGAAGTGGAAGCCCTCCGATCGGTGCTGTCTGCCGGCGCCGACGTATCCACCCCGGACATCAACGGCGGCAGTCCGCTGCACTATGCGGCCCAGATGTGCGGTGCCAACTACGAGGGCAAGACGGCCCGCGCCTCGGCCAAACTGGCCCTGGAAATCCTCAACACACTGCTGGTCCATCAGGATACTTCGGTCGAAGTAGAGGACAAAGATGGTCGCCAGCCACTGCTGTGGGCTGCCTCGGCTGGCTCTGCTAAGGCTGTCCTGGCTTTGATCAAAGCCGGTGCTCAGGTCGAGAGTGCAGATAAGTATGTACTTTTGCGATCGTTTTTAATCTAATTACTGACTGGTACCTTATTATCATTTCAGGGATGGACTCACGGCTCTCCACTGTGCAGCCTCTCGAGGTCACACGGAGTGTATAGACACACTGATTAACCTGTGTGGAGCGCACACAGATCAGATCGATTCCAACGGGTGCACAGCACTGCATTATTCAGTGACGCTTGGGCATGCGGATGCAACCTCCCTGCTGATCAAGTTGGATGCCGATCCAAATCGACAGGATAGGAAAGGCCGTACCCCGGCCCATTGTGGCTGTGCTAAAGGACAGATGGAAACGGTTAAGATTCTGCACATCAAAAAGGGGAATCTGTGGTTGAGAAATGCCAAGGGTGACTTCCCGGTTCACGATGCGGCCAGCTCTGGCCGCAGGCAGCTGGTTCAGTGGCTGTTGCAGCTGAAACCAAAGCACATCAACACGCCAAGCAATGATGGAAGGACGCTGCTACATATTGCCGCAGGGCACGATAACGTAGACATGTGCAAGCTATTGCTGGAATCCGGTGCGGAGATGAACCATCTGTACAGGCCATCTTCGAAAAGTGCTCCCATGACACCACTGGACTATGCTCTGGCCAAAGGCTTTCGATCGGCGGCAAAATTTCTGCAGATGCAAGGAGGTCTTCCAGCGAATAAATTGCGCCTCTCCAGCCGACAGCAGAAGATTCTGCCAGATATTGACAAGGTTGAACCACTGAAGCTTACCGAAAAGGAAGAGTTGATAGATTTGAAAACATCCAAACGCTACATAGTTTATTTGAATTCAAACTCGGAGTCGGAAAGTCAGGAAGACCGATCGCACCGCAAGAGTCGACATAAACGAAAAGGGAGCCATCGGGGTCGTCGAACGAGCAGCTGCAGCGACTCCGTGTTCCTGTACAGAGAGGGAGCGGCAGACATCAGTCGATCTCGGAGTAACGTCGAGTTGAACCGCGCCCAGCATCACCATCACAGACATCACCACAGGAGTAGCAGCTCCTCATCGGCTTCCACCAGCGATACGTCTTCAGATGAGTGCTGTAAGCATACTAAACGGAAACACAAATGCTACACGAAATGTTCATCATCAAAGTCGGCCCGATCGAAAGATCGCTCCCATCGGGAGCGGGACCGAGATCGGGAAAAGGAGCCAAAAGAACTAAAAGAGTACGAATTCATGTATGCCGAGAAGCGAGAATCTGGAAAGCCGAGGAAGTCGGGTGAACGGATGGGAAGAATTGTGCTGAAGCAGGTTCAGAGTGGATCATCGGAGAACGATTCGCCCGACGGCGATAGGCGTCCTAGTACTTCAAGGCTGACTGGTAAGGGTGGACAGCTACTGTCCGTCCCTACAGGAATGATGGGAATGTTGGATGAAGAATCACTGCCGAAAACACCGCCGAAAGCTGAGTTCAATATTAGGAAAGAATCGGATGTGAAGAGTGATGGCAAGTCGTCTGCGGATTCCAATGGGAAAAAGCTGAAGAAAGCGAAGGGAACCGGCAAGAAGGGGAAAGCACATGTAAAAGGAAAGAAGACAGATTCGCCAAGCGAAGAGGAAGCAAAGGACAAGCAACAAGGGGAGAAGGTGGTGACGGAAGCTCAGGTGCATCCAGTACCAGTACCGGAGATGGTAAAATCGACGGAAGATGATGGAGCTGCGACGGATGCAACGTATACAATCGATCAGAAGACTAAGTCGGATTATGAGGGGTTTAGTGAGACCGAGTCTGCGGAGAAGGGGAAGGCCAAAGGGAAAGGTAAAGGGCTGGGACCGGAGACGATAGTGGAAGTAAAACATGAGACCCTGCAGGAAGTTCCATCGGCGGTCCCTTTAGAGGTAAAGGAGGAGGTGGTACCGGCTCCAAAAAAGGAAAGGCCAAAGCTCAAGTCAAGCAAAGACAGTAGCAGCAGCCGATCCAGCAAATCCAAGTCGGATTCGTCGGAGAAGGAGATGCCAAAGCTGAAATTGAAACCGAAAGAGAAAGTTGAAGAGGCAACTCCTGTGATGGCAGCGCCAGCGCCGCCGCCATCACCACCACCGCCACCTCCTCCTGAACCAGAACCAGAACCAAGCGTTGTACCAGAGCTAGAACCCGTTGTTGAAGAGCCCCCCGTAGTTGAAGATCCACCCAAACCAGAAGAAGAGCAGCTTTCCGAACCTCCGGTAAAAGTACCGGAGTCTGAACCCGCACCGGTACCAGCAGATGAGGAAGCAGTTGTACCACAGGAACCTCCAGTCGTAGAACCAGAACCTGAACCACCGGAACCGGAACCGGAGCCAGTTCCTGAACCAGAACCAGAGCCTCCAGCTGTAGAAGAGACGCCAACGGAAGAGAAGAGCTCGGAAGTTGAGGAATCGCCTTCGAAATCGAGTGAGGATCAGCCTGATCAGCAGCCGCCAGAACCCGAAGAACCGCCAAAGCCCGAACCGAGTGGGGATCAAGAACTTCCCACTGAGGAACCAACAGCTCCACCACCACCACCGCCTCCATCACCGCCACCAGATCCCAAGGAAGAATCTCCGAAGAAGGTCAGTTTTGATAGAGAACGGCCAAAGCTGAGGAGGTCAGCCGAGTCCATGGTGGAGCACGTCGAAGAAGAGGAAGTTAGAACGGAAGAGGACGCTGTCGTACCGTTGGCAGCGGCAGCTGCGGTAGATCAGGAGAAGGTCGATTCGACAAGGGGGTTCTACGTGAGCCTTGCGGAAGGAGAAGAGGGCGAGGAAAAGAAGAAACGAAAGCTCAAGAAAAAGAAATCAAAGGAAGACAAAGCAGACGAAGAAGCGCAAAACAGCAAGGATCAGGACTCTGGGTTCGAACCAAGTCCGCAGTCAATACGGAGCAAATCGACGGTGTTCGACAGGCCAACAAGTATGGCGGTTTCGTCCAAGAGGCCTGCGTTTACGATGGTTGAAGAGCGGCCAGTCAGTTCCAGGCCGGAGGAGGGTCGCAAGCCAGGCGACAAGAATGCGGTCAACATGACGACCGTACAGCAATCGATCCAGCGGAACATTCGAAGGTAGGTTCGTTTGGGAATTTCCCTGTTTGTGTGTGCGTAGATATTCGAAGGCACTTTGAACTTTGTATAAGCTCAAATCTAACCTCACTTTCAGTTAGCTCCCCCCGCCCTGTAGATTTTACGTTCCTCCCTCTCACTCTGCTAACGAATCCAACAAATCGCAACAAAGTAAAAAAAAAAGCTCTACCAAAACTCTGAAGTGGAACCACCCGTGTTATTGTTTCAGATAAACATTGAACAGAAAACAGACTATCATCCTGTCAGCTTCCATACATTCCGTTCCTCAAACAGCAAAATTTACGAACCATTTTCCACGCTTGATCGAACCATACTTTCTTCCCATCCCGAAACCAACCAACCAAACAACAGCACCGAGTTTCCCCCTTTCCGATAAACTGAAAGTAAATCTTCCTTCCGAGTTCCCGCTGTGTAGCGTTCCTTCGAGGGAAATTGAAAATAATTTCACCACAGCAAGGAAATGGATTGACTACCCTTTATAAACTAGAAGTCGTCAGTAGAACACTTTTAGCATAGATAAGCCGCTAGGGCCAGGTTGGTCGTGCTAAACAAAATTAAAGCAATTGTTAGGAAAATAAGGATTCTCAAGATATGAAGCATCTTTCGCACGATGAGCAGGTCAAGCCTGGTTAGGGTCACGTCACGGTGAACGTCCCAGTATTTGTAGCAGCCTTGTGTGAGTATTGGCATCCCAATCAATGTAGTAGGAACCTGAGTAGCAGCAGTTTTAGTCCGTGAGGGTGTGTGTGTGTGTTTGTGTGCCGTTACGGTGAAGTAGACCAGATCCATTCCGTACGTCGTAGATGAATAAGTAGGGAATGGAAGTAGAAAAACAATTTGGCATGAAAAATGTGAAACACGCAGAAATTTTTCCTAAACTGTTACACCGTGCCCTGTTCCGCTTTTCGGGCAAGGCAAGCAAAATGTACAGTGGCGTAGCTGACGGGAAAAGGTTGAGGGGGGAGGGGGTTGATGGTGCATAAGTTATCAAGTCAGTTCACAGGATTTCAAATCACAAGTGAGAATTTTCCTAAAGTTATTGGAAGTTCCTAGAGTTCCTAAAATCTTTCATATGTTCATTGATACTACTTAAAGATCCCGTAATTTTCCTAAAATTCTCGAAATCAGTGTTGGAAAAATATCAAAAAATCAAATCTCACCAATGCCCAAGATCACGCTTGATTTTTATAGACAAAAATTAACAAGCAAACAACTGTGGTTGATTTTGCAAGCTGTGATATCGCAGCTCAGAATATCAAGCTTACAAAACTCACCAGCTGCAAATCTCACCAAATTGTGGTGAGATTGAGTTTAACGATTTTTGCTTTACACCCGAACGCAACCGAAGCATCCATAACGGCTGGCAGCAGTCCTTTCGTGTCGGCCATCGGTGAAGAGTAAAAAGAGATAGCAAACTATACTTTCTCTTTCTAACATGTGCAACGGAATCATTTTTGTGTCGAGTCAGCTCTCAATATCAAAGGAGCTTGTAAAATCAATATCAAGCATGATATTTTGTTCCAATATCACGTGTGATATTGAGAGTGTATGAGCGCGGAAAAATATCATTTGATTGATGATTTTGCCAACACTGGTAAAGATTTTAAGGTTTTCAGAATTTCTGAAATTCTTCCAACTTTCTTGAAGTTCTCTGAACGTCTCAGAAATTCTCTAGACCTCCCTGAATTCCACCGAACTTTTTGAAAGTTGCGGCAATTTTTATTGAGGATACTGTAACTGTCTTGAAATTCTTTGATCTTCCCTGAAGTATTCTAACGGAATTTTCCTTAAAATCTCAAAACTTTTTTGAACTTCTTTGGATTTTCCTGAAGTTCCCAAAATGTACCAGATGTTCTCGGAACTTCTCTGAAGTTGCCACGATTTTACTAATATTCTTAAATTTTCTCTGATGACACCATTATTTTTCTGGAATGATTCACTGTAGCTCCCGTAATTTTTCTAGAATTATCGTTCCAATACTTTTAAATTCTCTGGACTCTTGTGAAGTCCCTTATTATTTTCTGAAGTTTTCTTAGCTTCTTGATAGTTCTTTGGACTTCCCTGAAAGTATCAGCACTTGTCCCAGATTAATTTTCCTGGATTTATTAATCCAAATAATTTTCGCAGATCCAGGGTTGTCACTGAAGTTCTTTCAAAAATCTAAGCTTCTCTGAAGTTGTTGTAATTATCCTAACGATCCGGACTTTCCTTTCCACACTTTTTTCTTCAAAGTCTCTTAACTTCCCTGAACTTCTCTGGACTTGCCTGAAGTTTTTGAAACTTGTCTGGTAATCATCCTGGAATTTATGAAATTTTCCTCATTTATGAAGTTTTCTTCTTTTGGGAATATCACTGAAACTATCGGGATTCTCCGTAGTTCCTCGGAACTTCTTGAAATTAATGTAATTGCTTTAAAGTTGTCTGATCTTCCCCAATGTATTCTAAACTTCTCTAAAGTTAATAAAAATTCGCCCTTAATTACTCTAAACTTCTTAGAAGTTGTCTGAACTACCCTGAAGGTCTCGGAGCTTCTTAAAAGTTTTTGCATCTGTATGAAACTAATAGGACTGTCATGAAGAGATTTTTGAGTGTGTTGATTTATTTTCGTTATTATGCCGTTATAATTGCTTATCTTTCGACAGATACGCGTATTTCGTCTACTATTTGCAGACTTAATCAATGTCAAGTAGTCAACACCACTGAAAAATCAACGACTACGACTTATATACTAAGATAAAAGATGCATTATTCAGTTGTGTTGAGTACTTAGCACTGATAAAGTCTGCAAGTAGTAGACAAAATATGCGTATCTGTCAAAAGATAAGCAATTATAACGGAATTAAAACCGAAATAAATCAACACACTCAAAAAGCTATTCATAAAGGGATTCCGTTAAAAGGCTCGACAAAATTAAAAGCTTAGGACAGTCATGACATAATTTTATCTTTGCTGAAGTCTTGCAGTTTTCTAAAGTTTTGGAAATTGCTCTGAAGTTTACGAAATTTTGTAAAACTGTTTTTACTTACTAACTTACTTATCCTGGTCCGACATCCCTCAGGACTGCACCTGCATCGCAATGTTACGCCAATTCACTCGGTCCGTGGCTGCTTGTCTCCAATTTATTGGCCGTCCCACACTTCCAAGATCCTGCTCCACTTGGTCTAACCACCTTGCTCGCTGTGCTCCTCTTCGTCTTGTACCGGCCGGATTCGAGGCAAACACCATTTTTGCGGGATTGTTGTCCGGCATTCTTAAAACGTGTCCCGCCCATCGTACCCGTCCAGCTTTCGCAACTTTCTGGATCAGTGGCGCAAGCTCATAGTTCATCCTTCGCCTCCATACACCGTTCTCACATACCCCGCCAAAGATGGTCCTAAGCACTCGTCGTACGAAAACACCCAGTGCTTTTAGGTCCTCTTCAAGCAACGTCCACGTCTCGTGCCCGTAGAGAACTACCAGTGCATTGTACATTGTACATTTAGTGCGGAGGTGAAGTTTATCCGACCTCAGGGTCTTGTGGAGTCCGTAGTAAGCACGACTTCCGGCAATAATACGCCGACGAATTTCTCTGCTGCAGTTGTTATCCGGCGTCATCAATGATCCGAGGTACACAAATTCATCCACCACCTCGAACTCATCTCCGTCGATTGTCACGCTTCTGCCTATGCGAGCCCTATCCGGCTCGGTTCCTCCAGCTAACAGATACTTTGTCTTCGACGTCTTCACCTTTAATCCAACCTTCTCTGCTTCACGTTTCAGTCTGGTGTACTGCTCCGCCACGGCCTGAAACGTTCTTCTGAAGCAGATGAACTGGCTGGACTTATTGAAGATCGTGCCCCGCATGTTAAAGCCCGCACGTTTCATAACACCTTCTAGCGCAGTCCGATAACGCACCCTGACCAGTCTGGTCAGCTTCCCGGGAAAACCATTCTCGTCCATAATCTTCCATAGCTCTTCACGGTCAATAGTATCATAAGCGGCCTTGAAATCGATGTATAGGTGGTGCGTAGGGACTTGATATTCACGTCACTTTTAAAGGATCTGCCGCAACGTAAAGATTTGGTCCCTTGTCGATCGCCCGTCCACAAAACTGGCTTGATAACTTCCCACAAATCTGCTTGCTAGCGGCGATAAACGGCGAAAGATGATATGGGAAAGCACTTTGTGAGCCGCGTTAAGAATAGTGATCGCTCGATAGTTCTCACATTCTAGTTTGTCACCTTTTTTATGTACTGGGCATATTACTCCCTCTTTCCACTGCTCCGGTAGCTGTTCTGAATCCCAGATCCTGACTATCAGTCAGACAAGTGGCCAACTTATCCGGGCCCATTTTGATAAGTTCCGCTGCGATACCATCTTTCCCAGCTGTCGGATAGCATCCTTAACTTCACCTATCGTGGGAGCTGGCATGTGCTCCTCATCCGCTGTACAGACGAAGCCATTCCTCCTGCCGCCTTGGTCCTCCACTTCTGCGCCGTTCAGATGTTCATCGTAGTGCTGCTTCCACCTTTCAATCAACTCACGTTCGTCCGTTACCCAAATAACGTTGCAGGTTTTATCGCGGTTTTATAGCATTCTACAAGCCCAAATCATGGTCTACAGAACCCTTATAAAACCAAAATTGTTACTTGGGTAAGATTCCCCCTTCCTTATTCCGGCACATTTCGGCTCACGGCACAAAGCCTTGGCGGGATGCGTTGATTTTCTTGTAGAACTTGCGTGTTTCTTGAGAACGGTACAGCTGCATTCCAGCTCTTCCAGACAGCACTTCTTATCCCGGAAAAGATGGTTTTGCTGTCTTCGCGTCTGTTTATATCGCTCCACATTATGACGGGTTCCTTGCTGCAGCATCGCCGCTCGCGCTGCGTTCTTCACGTCCAAAACCGCCAAACACTCTTCGTCGAACCGATCGTTCCGTCGATTCCGCTCCACGAACCCAACGGTGCCTTCAGCAGCGCTGTTAATGGCTGCTTTCACGTTGC